AATGGCCCGGGAAGACCAACTTGGAGCTCTATCTTATGCAGACCCTCCAGGATGGCCAGTTTCTGCTCGAGAAGCCCGAGGAGCAGGCCGCACGACCCGGAATGCAAGCAACCCCGCGCTCCAGCAAGGACACCATTGCAGCAGACGAGTTCTTTGACAAGGCTGTCAAGCGTCTGTTCGAGGTCGTTGACGACGAGCCCAGTGCCGGCGGTATCCCAGAAGGAGTCTTGGAGATTGGAAATGCCATCCTTCGCAAGCTGGAGGACGAGAAGAGCCTGCGCAGGGCTTCGCAAAATTTCTTTGTCTCGCGTTGGCTCTTCTCTACCTTCCTCATGAACGCCATCATCCATCCCGAGGCATGTTTACCCTTTCTGACGCAAGACTGCGAAACTAACACCACACAGACCCATGGCATCATGATTGGCCACCACATCAGTGAGCATGCTCGCATCAAGATTCTGAAAGAGGTCGCCATCCGAGCGCAGAAATATGTCGTGAACATGACCTACAACTGGTATGGCGATATGCTGTAGTACCCTCTGGCTATCAGCTAACAAAATTGCAGGAAGCAGAAAAACGAAATCCTTCCTGAAATCCGCACACACATCGAGAACATCCTCGCTCGGTTTAAGCACACCAAAACACCCTCGAAGCCAATTTTGCTTCCTGCAAAGGCTATAACATCACCCAGAGAGACTGTGGAAGTTCAGCCATTCATTGTCTTGTCACCAGCCGACATTGTCACCCTGGTCAACGCTCTGTTCCCGGAGCGACGTCCGTCGTCCAGCCACATGGACAATGACAGCCAGCGCCGTACTGGTCTGGCTTCCTCTGCTTCTTCCATGTCTGGGATGTCGGTTCCATTCCGCAATGCCGCCGCTTCTGTGACTGACGCAAGCTCTATCCTGAGTGCCAGTGCTTCTTCAATGACCAGCGACCAGACCTCGCGTGAGCCACTTCTGGACAGCAACCCGGTATCCGGCGAATCACCGACAGAGATGAAGCCTGCACCAACAGAGCAATACGGAAGACAGCTGCGAATGGCATGTTCTGAGATGACTCGCCTCCTAGGTTTCGAAGCCACATCAGGCTCTTGCCATCCGTGCGCAGAGCGATGGGCTGTCCTTTACATCTCCGCCGATGGAAAGCAGCTAAAGCCGCGTATGCGCAAAGACTTTGATGATGAGGATGAGCACGACGAGGACTCACCAGACAGCGACAGCAGCGACGATGAAGAGGGCGGGAACAGGTTCGATCTTGGCAACGACTACCACCAGCTGAAAGAGGCAATCGCCAAGCTGGTGGAGGAGTACGAGATTCCCAAGGATCTTGCGCCCGACAGCGAATCGAAGAACTTCAGCAACAGAATGACGACCCGCAAAAGCACTCGTGGACGTGGCCCAGTACGCAACGTCAGCGAAAACCTCGGATCACGCAACCCATACAACTCGACTCAGAGCCAAAGCCAGCTTACCAACATGATTGCCAGCCAAAGAAACGTCTCATCACGGCGCTCACCACAATTTCCGAGAAGTCACAGCAACCCTCAAGTCGGCGAGAAGCAAGAGAACAACTCAGTTCTGGTCACCATGCTTGAGACCGCCATGTACCAGTGTCAAGCACGATCCGATTTCGTCAATGCGCATATGTACTACAAGACATTGCAGAGTCTGAAAAGACTCAGCTCTCCGACACTGGTCAAGAACGGCTACGCAGCCCTTCTCAACTACTTCTCTCGCAGCCCGCGCGACCTCCTCAGCAAGGCAGCCAATGCTATTGAAGAGTTCGAGGCCTGGTTCGTGTGGCTCAAGCAGTCGCAGGAACGGTCAGATGGTATGGTCGAAGAGATGATGCTCACGTTCAAGAATCTTCGAGACAAGATGTGGTACATCACAGATGTCCGCACTTCCAAGCCATACGAGGACGCCAGGAACGTTGCGCTTGCTCTCAAGATCATGGACCAACAGTCAAAGATGCTCAATGTCAGAGGCCCGTCCGGTTCCCAACCGCGCAACAGCAACAGCTTCTTACGCCAAAACGAAGCTCAACTGGTTGATCTCATGTCAGCTTCTCAAGATTTCGGTGGTCCGAACAAGCTGTCAGATGAGCAGTCGCAAATCACGCTGAAGTGGCTTATGCAATACAGCGTAGAGAACTTCTGCAAAGGCGAAGAGCGGATACATCGTTTCTGTCTCGAAGTCGACAAGTGCGTCACCAAGGTCATTGGTGAGGGCGTCCTTGATGGGCCCGTGCTCTGGGCCAGCGACCTCTACAAGCGCGACCAACAAATTCTGGAGAGTGGACGGCAGAAGGGCGACCTGTTTCTGACTGGTGTTGGCACTCTTTCCATCGCCGGTGATGAGGAGTACGAGACCCACGGCCGACCTGGTTCTCGTAGCCATGACTTCTCGCAACGACCAAGCCAAGGTAGTCTGCGTGCCGCAGCTAACCGCAATGGATCTTCCAGTTTCGACCAGAGCCCCTGGGGAAGAAACCCCATGGATGCCCCCGACTACTTCGGCGGGTCTTCACCTGTTCATGCAATCGACTCTATGGCTACTTTCTGGTCACCGTTCCAGACCCAAGCGCAGTCTCCTACCAACGCTACAAGCATCCGACCACGTACCGCATCATCATCGAAGGGTACGGTGATGCTTAAGCAATCTGCAATGGTCAACGAAGACAAGCGCCGCTTCATGCTCGATCTGAAGCAAACACTCACAGGCCTGCTTCTGAGTGACCTCGGAACAATGGTCTTCGCCAACGGCAGCGAGACCGACTCATGGTTCGGTGGTGATTTGCTAGACGACTGCTTCGAGCGTAGAGATGAAGAAGAACGGAAACGCAAGAAGCAGCTCGCCAAGAAGAGCATGAAGAACATCCGGAAGCAGACCCTGCCCGATTCACGCAACTTGCCGCTGGAGACGCTCGGCCGAAACGAGCGTGGCACAGCGGCCCCGCCTGTCGCAACTTTCCAACACGCCAGTGCATCCGACGCTCACCAATCTGCCGGCGAGCAATCCTCGACTTCCAGCGACGCGACTTCGCGTTCGGTTGGCAATGCCACAGCGAAGAAGGCTGGGCTACTCGAGTTCCCGTACAACGTTGCTTTCCGACGGCTGTTGGGCAGATTCCAGACACACCCCAACCCGTACTCCAAGCTGCACGCACTATATGAGCTGGAGCTGCTCATCATAGCATCACTGTCTTCTCGAACCGGTCGCTCGTACAACAACCGCCGGGAAACTCTTCCCCCGGTTCCTCAATCACCCACCCTTGGCACCATGCCAGAGCTCAGTTCTCGTGAGCCAGCTACTCAAACTTCTCGTGCACAAAACCTCGAGGAAGCCATTGCCAACTGCGAGGAGCGCCGCTCCCACAGCATGAGCGTAGAACGCGTGAGCAACGCGTCTCCTCTACCTCGCAACGGTGCACGCTCTCCGGTTGGACCGCCAAGCACAGACATGATCGTTGAAGTCATCCAAGGCCTCTTCCGCGACGCCAACATCCGACCCAAGACCCTGTTCCGAGACCTGCAGTACATCGCATCTTTTGTACCTGCGCAGATGCTGGACAAGACTGCACGAGGCAAGGCATTCTGGGATGTCGGTCTCGCTGCTCTAGGCCTCAAGCAAGACGTCTGCCGAATTATGGTAGAGCTCGTGGATGAGGTCATCACCCAGAACTCCAAGCGCGATGCAGGCAAAGTCAGCAGTGGAGCTGCTGTCGAGAAGGCTGGTGCATCGTCTACTACACCAGCTCCGGTTGATGAACCGCTATCCAAGTACACCATGGAGGATGCCGGACGCATGCTTCTTATCACTGCCAAAGAGGGCGACGCAGTGGCCGAGCGTGAGCTTGCCATCTTTTACCTCACATCCCCCGAGCTCGTTCATCGCACAGTCCTGCCACTCACCAGGCCCAGCGAGGTCTTCAAGACTGAGCTTCTCAACCGTGAGAGGAAGGCGTCGCAAGACCCCGCCCGCAGCGACCCAATGACCATGTGTGTCGCGCAACACTGGATGGAGCAGTCCATGAAGGGCGGCGACCAGCTTGCCGCCAAGTACTTGCGCCAGCGCAGCGAGCTGGAGAACATCAACCCGAGCAGGGCATAGTATGTCTTTTTCTGCATTTGGTGTTCGACTCTGCATTGATACCCCGACCCGTCGACCTATTCTTCATTACCAGCGATACTGCGCAAACCTTTATTCATGCATTTCCGCCATGCGCACAACATCTTTACGGCCTATATACAACCATGACGGCCGGTCAAGCATAGCGAGGAGTTTCCCCCATTTTATGTCTTTCACATTACCATCAAGGTTTTCGACTTTAAGCAAGCATGATTCCCCCTGTCGCCTTGATCTTCTTCTATTCGCGTTCTAGTTCATGTCTTCTTCATCTTATAACTTTACTCTTTTTTTCAAACCCGGCGCAAACATGAAGGCTTCGACGATATATGACGCTTGTAGATCCACAGGAAAGGGTACAACGGATGGGGATACCAAATATACCAGGGGCTCTTCTTCGGGAACATTCATGGAGCTCGCGCAAGGCCAGTGCTCCATTACTTGTCTTCCCTCGGATTGTTTTCCACCGATGGCTCTCTATATGCATGAGAATAGGCTTTCTTCAAGGATACGACAACGAATCTCCTTGGACATGAACAATATCCCTTTTTTTGGGCTGGTATCTGAATGTTTACATACCATATAGCGTAGATTTCTCTAGCTCTGCTGGGTAGTAACGGCATTGGAATGGATAAATTGTGCAAAAGTACTGGACTGTGTGAGTTAGTTGATGTGATCATAATTGAGCGAATGTGATGGACTGTAAGATGGTGTTGCAGTAAGTTGACTGCCTTGTAGAGTGCATATGCGCCGAAGGATGGAATACATTGACTATCCTACTCGACAAAGCATAGCTACCACAACACCCCCAATCCCGTTATCAGCATCTCAATCTCCTCAACACAGGTACCTCACACGAAACACCATTCCTTAAACATCCCTCCACGAGGCGGAAGCCGGACGAGGCGAATCCTCCGGGCTATCCTCCGCATGCGCCTGATGCGCAATTGTTCCACACATACGGTGCGCCGGGTCGTCGACACCAGCACCGTGGCTTGGAGATATACCAGTCACCCTCGGGCGCATGGGCAGACGAGTAGGCTCTTGGAACGACACACTGCGGTGAGCACTTGGTCCGGCGCCGAAGATTTTACGACGTGCCTCTGCAGCGGCGGAGTGGGCGGTCTTGGGAGCGGGGGTAGACTTGTTCGTGGACTCCTTGGAAGGATTTACGCCGGGGGGCGGGAATAGAGGTCGAGATGAGGGTGCGTCTTGCCCGCGCAGATCAATTGTTACTACCTTGTTATAGGCCTTCCGTGGATCTTTGGCATGCCAAGTAGAGGGCTCGCTGGAATCTTGGTAGTACTGATCGGTTAGGTTTTGGGACTCATCCCATAGGTTTTGGAGCTCTTCCAACAGCCTCTGGTCGTTGGCAGCTTGATTCTGTACCCCATGCGTGCTTTCGCGGCCGTAGAAGCGGAAGGGGTCGAGCTCGGCGGCGACCGTCTGCTTGGGTGGGGAGCCTACGCGCTTGAAGTTCAACTTCTGCTCTTGGACGGGCTTCTTTTCCTGTTTTGCAGGGTTCTTGTGCACGAAAACAATGGGTTGTGGTCCTTGGTCTTCTTCGCGAATTGTTATATTACGGCTTGGAGGATTAGCTTTGATAGTGTGGATTTGAGCAGGTTGAATATCTGCTTGTTGGACATGCACATGCCGGATTTGATGATCAGCCGGAGATGCGTGGGTTTGGACAGCTTTCTCCTTAGCCTGCGAAGCTCGCTCAGTGAGGAACTTCGCATTCGGTCCAGGTACCATGCGCAACCCAGTGGAGCTATCGCCTTCCAACTGTATGATGTTCTTACTGAGCAACTTCGCTTCGATGTCGGTAAGGGTATCCAGGAATGCTAGACAATCGTCCATGTTTGCAAAGTCAGCTCCACCTACGGAGACGGGTCCGTCGGACTGGGTTGCCACACGGAACCGGCCGAAGCGGTGATGCTGAGGTTGCTCGACCGGAGAACCGGGAGGAGGCGTGTGGGATATGCCAGTAGTGCGGCCTGTGGGAGCGGACTCATGATGTTCTTCGGCATGAGCTTGTGCGTATAGCTCAGCAGAATCGTTGATATACTCGACATAACGGGCGACCAACTCCTCACCTCCCTCAAAATCGATGACATCCCACAACCACTCGAAATCGACCGGAAGGCCGAATTCATCGTCGAATTTCGGAAAGCCATGACCAGACTCCCACGCGTACATTTCCATGTCGTCAAGGTACTGGGAGCCTTGGAGCCAGTCGCTAATGAGACTTCGCACGTCGAGGCTATTCTGGTACATGGGATCGTCGGGTCCTTCTGCAAGTTGTGGTTGAGTCCGTTCTAGGTATGCAGCAAGGGCTTCGAGATCTTGCGGCGGCATGGGTCGTTGGGTGTCCAAATCGATCGGTAGTGTGAAGTAGAGTTCGGAGCCGTTTGGAAGACGCACACAGTGCCCATTTGGATGCATGATGAACTCAGCGCAGCGCCTATCGCTAGTACGTAGGAAGAAAGGCATGTTCTGGAAGGTTGATAGTGAGATGTACTTGATAAAAAGTGCTCTTGTTAATTTGCTGGTGTTTTGATGATGTGAGGGCTTAGTGGATGTGGTAGATTAGTAGAGGAAGAGAGGGCTTATATACCTACTATATGTGACATTCAACTTTCGTGAAGTTTGCACTCTTGAAGCCCGGTAGCTCACATGTTTAACTATGGTGTTTGAATCCAGCGCACCAAACCGTCGAAGACGTACTGTAATCACTCGTGGGGCTCTGCGCTGGCATGACAGATTCTATAGACATAGCTAGTGATTGAAGTATGGGTACTGTCAGTCGTGTATTCAGGATGTTGACGAGTCTTTTCATTCAACGGAGTAACTTTACATGGGTAGAATATGAATTTCAGACGTTGTGAGTGGCTCATCAGCTCTACGTTCAGTATCTACCTGCGCAATTTCACTTTCCTACTCTGCCACATGCGCTCTTCCCGCGTTGACGTTCTTTCGTGGAGCCTCGTTGACATCGCAAACGAGGTGTGTAGGCGCGACATACACATGTGAGATCACCTCTGACGCGTGCGCACCTGCAAGGCTTTTTGTAAAGACAGTCTCATTTACAATTGTCTCCGGTTTGGTGGTTCTTGTGAGACTACCAATTCAACATCTCCAACATTTCCACCATCGTGCGAAAGCTCTGGATCCGATTTTACGCGACGATACCCTCGTCGGTTTTGCAGCGGATTCGGCGGATTCGGCCAAGTTCGTGTACTGGTGGGCATTCGTCCTTGCTCAAAGAAAGGAGTCTCCTCGTTGCTATGCTCCTCATTGCTATGCTCCTCGTTGCTCATTGGGTCCTCTACTTCATGTTGCTGGTGCTCTTGCGATGCTGTCGGGATAAAAGGTGTCGAAGAGTCATCACTTATGCGCGAGCCACTGGGCACGCCGAGTGGTACGACCGGGGCGTCGCTTTTGTTGTGTATTCCACGTGGTGTGACTGCTGGCGAGGATGAGGAGTGTGCTGTAGCCGGTGTACCGAGCACAGCATTATGCGTTCCAGCGTTGTTGCGCGTTAGCTCGAACGAGAATGTGGGGTGCCTATGGCTATCGTTTCTTGCATATGCAGAATCTGCGCGAGAGAGGACTGGTTCCTTTGTGGTATCCCTGGTCCACATAAGCGTTTTCCGTGGCTTTTCATCTGGACCGATCATGTTGATCATTTTACCCATAGCAAAAGCGAGTTTTCCTAGCCGAGTCAATGTGCCACGGGATATGCGGCGAGCGTGCATTGTCCGCAATCGATATTTGCGGGTCCTTCGTAAACCTTTCATGGCGTCGTCGTAGTCTTCGGTCGAGAGATGGGATTGCTGACACCATTCTACCGTGATATAGAACATAGATAGACCCATGACTGACGCGGTCAATGAGGTACCCGATACCCAGGTCAAGGTAATACCGTAGCTGTTCGACGTGAACTGTTGACTGAAATCAAGGTAGCCACCACCACCCGCCCAGTTACTGGTTATGCAGTTACAGGTTCCGTACAGCCCAGTAACCTGCGCCATAACGATATACATCTGTGAGCAAGTGGTCAGTAATGTAATCCTTACTCAGAGAACGCAGGGGTGACCTACTAGCCATCCAGTGTTGAAGAACTCTATGGGTCGGAAGAAGATGAGCCCCCACTTCTCCTGTGGAAGCGCTCTGCGCCATTTGGTCCTCGTGTCCTCTAGGAAATTTTCAACTCTCAATCTCCTAGCTTCCCGGCCTTTCGACGGCCATACGAGAGCGATAGAGGCTATACTAGGGATCAACCAGTCTCCCATGGCTTCACACTTTTTTGAAAAGCTTTTTCCTAATCTTTTCCACATCGTCTTTGCGTAACTCGCCCACTGATCGAAAGTGGGATTCTCATGCAAGTAGTCAATAAAGCAGGTTAGCCAACGCGGAGTAATCTCATACGACGAGAAGTACATCCAGACGGCCATTTCAACGATAAGCAGACCCGTTGCGATAGTGAAGAAGATGGTGTACCCTCCGCTGCGACAACCGAGACCGATGGTGGGCGTGAAGTAGCTCAAGATAAATGCGCCTCCGCAACTCCCGCCGACGATGATGACCGCACTGATGATCTGCCAAAACTCTTGGAAATCGAACCAAACCAAACCCTCGTTGTTGACGGCACCCAACACCAGATAGGCTCGTGCTTCGTGTTCGATTGCCAGCCAGTCACGGCCCTTCTTTTGAATATAGCAATCCTCGATGTCACACAAAATGGCATGTGCGGCACCATAATGCCACCTAACGCGTGCTTGACCAGCGAAATCCACAAAAAATTCGTCCATGCACCGTGCTTTCTTCGCTACTTTTTCGATCGTGTCTTCCAAATCAGGGTAGTTTTCCTCTCCTTGGTAGAGTTTAAGGTACTCGCTACGATTCGGCGGGTCATGTAAAGAAATGCGAACGTGGTCGACCAAGGTGTTCAGTTTCTTGCGGATCGCTTCTGCTGCGATTGGGTTGCGGTCTACGATAGAGCTCATGATGAGCACGGGGAACCAAGCCAGCAGACAGCCCAAAGCTAGATCGTGAGCAGTGGTATTGGCTCCTAGTTCACTAAAAGCATCCTGGATGGAAAGTGCGAAAGCAAACAAGAACCACAAGATGGAAATAAAGACTATGATACTAGTGAGCGCGTGCGGTCATATCGGATAAGAGTGATTACCTGGTACAGTGCCTCTTCTTCTGGTTTCACGCACCTCTTGCGCCAGTATACGTCTCATCTCACGAAGCGTCTTGTCAGCATCTTTTAATTTGAGGTCTCTGCTGAAGAGCGTGATGCGCAACAAGCACTCCGCCTCTTTATGATTATCCTTCGACATGACTGTTGAATTCAGTGTGTACTGGTTCAGGACCAGCAAGAGGTACATCGAGTCTCGCATGCTGGCAAAGTCGGTCGTGCGATGGTTCGCACAATGAGCCGTACAATTGGTCGTGCAGTCTCTTGTACAGTTGATCTTACAATCGGGCGTACAATCGAGCTCCTCGTATTCGGGCGTCTTGTCGTCGTATTTAACAGCCATGTCGACCATCAAGGCAGCTTTGGCGGAGACCTTGATGTTCCAAAGTACGTAGGACAGCGATGCGATAGGCGAGCCCACCCATCGCGTGATGGCCAGCACTGTTCTTCGAGCTGCGTTGCTCTCAAAGGGTGCTTGCAGGAGTATACCGATGGTCGGTAGTACCCATGTGGTTATTACTCCAGAAATATCCCTCCATGCGTATATATCCGGTCCTGAGCCACACACGTGTATGCACCCTTCTGTGGATATCTGTGTCATGTTATTGTACACAATACCAAATATGGTACCGTTCCATCCCCATTGCCTGCGAAGTGAGTCTCCGTCCGGGGTGTTGGCTGTGAAGCGCGCTTCACATTCCGTGAAGTTGGTCATATCGACTGGAAGGCGCGCAAGGCAGAACTCGCTGTGGAGCTTACATGGCGGGTGGGCATTTCCTTTATCGGAACAATAGAATGGGCCTTTGACTCAGAATGCGGTCTGGTCCTGGTGGCAGGACTGACCGTGGAGTTGACATGGCGGGTACATATCGCCTTCATCGCCCAGTGCGGTTGCCAGGCTGCAACGCCACCCTGTGGCCCCCAAAGTGATTGCCTGTCAATAACAAGGTATCCAGTAGAAAGGTACGGATATCGAGCCTCGTCGCGAACCGGTGAGCGTTTGAGTACAGAAGTCAGCTCTTGTACCACCTCACCTACCGTTCAGGTGGCTTGAATTTAGCCCAACCCGTGTCAGCCACGCATGAAGAACGTGACGTGGTAGCTACTTCGGGCGAGTGGGCAACAGCTTTCTCCCGGGTTTGAACAGCTTGATATGGCATACCATCGATGTACTGGCGATGGCGCAGAGGTTCTTGATGGTAGGACGTTGAGACGTCCGTTGATTTTGTGGCATAAGGATGAGACTACACGGGCAGCGGGTGTGACGCAACAAATTCCTAGAGCCGAGGTAGATAAGCGCACGTTAATTCGTAGACTGTTGTATGCTATTGACATCGCGATGGTTGGCGCGCGTAAAGACTATTGTGGATATGTGTCTGTACGGATGCGATACTTCTCTCGTTCGTCATTGCGGGTGGGCCGTATGGAAAGCGGAAAACTGACTGCCTCGGCGTCTCCGGGCCTCCTCTGGGTCATCACAGTACCATGGGATGACGGTGGCGTAAAGAAGGCGTACAGGCAATAGAGATAACGCAGAGATGAAGACACGATGGATTGGTGGGGTGGGGGGGCGGTTTATCCTCGCACCGACACGTTCGACATTTCGTGGCGGCAACCGCGCCCGGCAAAGCGCGCCTGCCCATCACTGCACATCACGTGCTTCTAAACGACCAATCACCTGGGCAGCGAATCAACAATTTGCTTCCGATGAGCAGCAACTCCCAAAATTACTCAAGTTTTGAGGTCCGCACTACTGTTTTGCTGTTGAATAAAGACACAGGGCGAAATCTCAATTACGGCTCTTACAACTGAAGCAACATGGGGTGGAACCATGCTCTTATCAGCGAAATTCAACAGACCCTGAATAGAAGGAATCGAGCTCAGTACGGGCTGGAGTTATACCTAAGCAGTAATAGTGGTACATCACGTGCCCGATTACGAGCCGTCTGAGGCTTGGCTCCAGTTGAACCTCAATTCAAGACATGGGCGTCGCGCAGGTCGAGAAACTTATATCAATGACGTAAGGTATTCGATAAGACAAGCTTCGTAAGCGTGTTGCTCATAATGCTCTCATAATACATAAATAGGGTATCGTTTCCCTTGGTACAGCAGGTATATACAACAAAGATTTTCCCCATATCCAACAATGCCAAAACACCATGCGATGCAAACATTCCATAACAAAAAGACCCAAGGCGACATCGAAAATATCAGTTCAGACATGCGCCTTCTTCCTCCC